ATTATCAAATTACTCTATTTTGCCAGTCTTATGGGAGAGAAATGGCTGTAATTTGCATCTCCCTGCTTCTCATTGCTCTTTTTCTTTTTTTTCCCCCTTTTTGTCTTTTTTTCGTGACCGGTAATGGGATCGCAACCTTCAGTGTCACGCCCGTACCGCGCTCAACCAGTGAGCGGACCAGTCTCTATATGGGATCCAAACCCTCGGTGGGAGCGCCGCCGTGCTCCCAAGTGCCGCATTCTACCGAGTGCGCCACCGGGCCGGCCCTCATTGCTCTTTCTATTGCTCCCTTCTCTCTCCAGTTTGTAGGTATGTTGTCCTGAGGGGGGGTGACAAGAGGAAGGGAAAACTCTCCTCCCAACTCTGCTCCCTTCTGGAGCTTACTTCAAGGGAGCCTAGAGTTTTGCCTACGATAAGCCAATTCTAACTCTGAAAACTTCACTCCTGTTCCTAAGCAGCAAGCCATCCCCATGGGGGAGGACTTCAGAATGGGCAGAGCTGAATAAACCTGTTAAAGATACTACAAAACCTTGCTGTATAGTAGGGGAAACTGAGACCCAGAGAGAGGCAGGGAGGGGCCCACACATGGTCAGTGTCCTGCTGTCCCTTTCCCACACATCCCTCCTCTCTTGCTGCTCTCTTTTTCCAGGAACCCGGTGCCATTTGGAGGATCCGTCATTGGGGAGACCATTCCCAGGGCAGGCACGCCCTTCATCCCAGAGCCCCCCAGTGGCTTGGAGCTTCTCCGCCTCAGACCCAACTTCAACAGAGTGGCTCAGGGCTGGGTCCGCAACCTCCCAGAGTCTGAGGAGCTGTAGCCCTAGCTTGAATCTTCAATTCCCCTGTCTCATGGTTTGGGTAACATCTGGAGCCAAGACATGCGGATAGCACTTCACAGTTATGAAGGGCCTTCACACACAAAATCTTGTTGCAAATCGCTTCAAAGGTCACAAAGTTCAGTAGTCCCCAAATGTGGGTGTGCTTCAAAATTTCTTGGCGATGTTCCTAATATGGATTTCTGGCTGCCCCAGACTTGCAGCATCAGAATCTCCTGAATTGGGAAGTCTCTATTAGTAACCAGTATTCCCGCTGATTCCGGTGTAACCTGTCCGTGGCTGTGTCTTTAGGAGTCCACGTCCATGCCTCTGCTCTTCCCTGCCCCAGCAGCTTACACTCTGCCAATGACAGGGTGCTCACTAGCAGACTATCTACCAGATAGATATTCTATCAGAACGACTCCAGTAATTAGAAAGTTTTTCCTTTTACTGAGATGAACTTGGTCTTCATGTATTTATGCTCTAAACATTTACTAAGTGGGGCTGGCCTGTGGCTCACTCGGGAGAGTGCGGTGCTGATAACACCAAGGCCGCGGGTTCGGATCCCATATAGGGATGGCCGGTTCGCTCACTGGCTGAGCGTGGTGCTGACAACACCAAGTCAAGGGTTAAGATCCCCTTACCGTTCATTTTTAAAAAAAAAAAAAAAAAAAAAAAAGACATTTACTAAGCAACTACTGTGTGCTAGACACTATGCCAAGCCCAGGCCTCAAGGAGGAAAAGACAGTAAGGAAGATAGATTTGTAAAGCAGTCATTCATTTAAATTTTCCCTAAAGCATGTTAATTGACAACCAAGGTACAAATGGTCGTGGGGCAGAGGAAGGGAACCCTAACTCTGGGTGTGGGGTGGGATTCCAGAAGCTTCCCAGAAGATTTGAGTGGGACCTTGGAGGAAGATGAGAGTCCATCCAGAGAAGGGGGTGCAATGGAGAAGGCATTCCTGGCAAGGGCACCAGCATGTGCAACAGTGTGGAATTAAGCACAGGTGCAGGGTGTTCCGGACAGGAGAAGCCTATGTCAGGGGAGGCAGAGGGCCCGAGTGAGGTGGGCTTTACTAAGGGAGTGGGGAAGGGTTCAGTGACAGGTTTCACTGGTTGCTGTGTGGGGCACAGACTGGAAAGAGATTGTGCCAGAAGCCTGGAAGTCTGCAAGGGATGAGGCCATGGGGGTGGAAAGAAGGAGCCACCTTTCTGGGTACCTTACAGGACAGGTGCAAAGTGAGGCACTTACAAAGACTCCTTCTTTCCACCCTTGATTCTGAGCAGGCCCCTTAGTTCAAGTGATAATGATGATGGTGATAGTGATGATGGTGATGATGGTAATAGTGATGATGATGATAATTGTGATGATGGCTGCTTTTTAATTGCCTTGGTGCTTGGGCTAGTAGTAAGTTCTCAATGTATCTTATTTCTAATTTGCAGTACAACCTTGAGAAGAAGATATTGTTGTTCCCATTTTACAGATGTGGATATCCAGGCTCAAAAGGGGGAGGTGACTTGTCAGGAGCAGAGTAAAAATGGGAATCTGTCTGATTCCAGTGGATGTCTCTTTTAACCCCATTGGGTGGCCAAGCCAGTGCCCGCTCACTGTGGAATCACCCGATCGTGGTGCCCTGCTTTAGAGTTTAGAGGTTAAGAGCACCCACTGCGGAGTCAGACTGGGTGGATGGGTTCTAACTCTGCCTCTGCTGGCCATGTGGGCTTGAGCAAGTCATTTCACATTTCTGAGCCTCTGTTTCTCCATCTGTACGATGAGGACAAGTATAGAAGCTCCTTTACAGGGTTGTTGCTAGTACAGGGCAGGATGCATTCATTATAAGGGCTCAATCAATGTTAGGTTTCGTGAAGCTACTGCTCTTGACTGAAAAAGATGAGCTTACAGTGGATGCAGCTCGAGGAGTGGGCTTCTAAGATGTCACGGGGGTCAGTAGAGCTGAAGCCTGAAAGAAAGGCCCTCATCACTGTAGGGCTCCCTTTGGACATGAACTTCCCCCTGCCTCCCTGGCTCCCTGTCTCCTCCCTGCCTCCCTCTCTGGGGGAGATAAGGAAGGTCAGGACTTGAGCTGGTTCTCCAGGCAGGCGAGAGAGCAATTGCACTTCCTTTTCACTCCCCTTCTGGGTCTCACGGGGCCAGCGGCCTGACTCTTCCAATTGCTTGCAGTCAAGGTGTTCCCTTGCATTTGCAGGCTGCCGTTCAAAGCAAGGTTTCCATGAGCTGAAGACCAACCATTATAGTGTCTGAAAAGTAGAAGAGAGGGCTTGGACTGCCTTGGGTTGGTTCTGTTGTGCTCTGGAAGATAACTTCAGCAGCCAGGTACAGAAGAGAGCCGGATGGGGAGACTGCTGCCCCCAAGTGGTTCCTCATTCCTTTTTTCTTTTGATAATGTGACTTTTGTTGATGTAAAAAAAGAAAAAGAAAAAGAAGGAAAAAAGAATACTTATTGCAAAAATACAAAAAAAATAATAAACAAAAAGTAAAAGGTGAAAGTATCTGCCCACATAGTCCCTCCCATGTATATACCTTCCCAACCTTCTGCATTCTGCCCTGTTCCTACATACCGGAGGTAACCACTGGTTATGGACTGGTCCTTCTACAATTCTAGAATTATTTGAATAGATAAATATATACCTGTGTATAGATGCATAAATATGTTTTTGTTTTAATGGAATCATACTGTATGTATTGTTCTGTATCTTGTTTCTTTACTCAACAATTTAAATACTGAAAAAGCAGGTCATTAACCTTTCATGTAATTTCGGAGCTTAACAAATCCTCCATATAAAACTCTATAGTTTTGTCTGTTTTTTGTTCTTTATATAAATGAAATTATACAGTGATATGGAAGTGAAAAGGACCAAGAATAGCCAAAACATTGAGAAACCTGACATTAGATGCTGCAGCAATGAACATGAATGAACTACAGTTACATGCAATAACATGGATGCATCTCAGAAACATAATGGTAAGCAAAGGAAGGCAAATAAATACATACACGTTTACTGATGCAAGGAAACATTTAATATAAAAGAATAGTGGTAGCTTTGTAGGGAGGGAAGGATTTGTGAATGTGAAGAGACACGTAAAATGCTCTGGGGTAACTGGAAAATTTCCATTTCTAGACTTGGGTGATCGTTACATAGATGCTCACTTTAAAATATTTAAATAAGTTGTACAAGCTTGTTTTATGCACTTTTGTATATATTTGTTATATTTTACCAAAATAATTTTTCCTTTTAGAAAAGTTAATGAGGGCCAGCCCGTGGCTCACTCGGGAGAGTGCGGTGCTGATAACACCAAAGCCAGAGGTTCGGATCCCATATAGGGATGGCCGGTTAGCTCACTTGGGAGAGTGTGGTGCTGACAACACCAAGTCAAAGGTTAAGATCCCCTTACCGGTCATCTTTAAAAAAAAAAAAAAAAAAGTTAATGAACACATTAATAGCAAATTAGACATACACAAAGAGAATTAGTGAACTAAAAGTGCCTATAATTCATCACAGAGAGGTAAAGAGATAGAAAATATGAGAGAGAAGTTAAAAGACATGGGGAATAAAATGAAAATGCCCAACACTACTACCAGCAACACTTTCCAGCAACAATTGAAAAATATCTTCCAGTAGTGAGAGCAAAAATAAATTGAGTTTTAAACAAATAATTATTAGGAGTTATAAATAACTATAACTATTTCCACTAACCCTTGAAAGAACTACAAAAGAACATACTTTAGGGAGGACACAGAAATAAAATATAGAATCTAAGAAGTAATGGTGAGCAGAGATATTGGTAAATGTGATTAAGTCTTAAAAAACTCGATCAATCCAATAGAAGGCAGGAAGGATGAAAAAAAAAAGCAAAGAAATGACACATAAGCAGTGTCATAACACCAAAAAAGGGAGAGAAAAGAGAAGAAAAGACACAAAAAAGAAAGTGGTATAAATAATTTCAAGTATATCAATTATCACAATAAATGTAAGTTGACAAGACTTAGTTTAAAGATCAAGACTCACAGATTGGAAAAAACATAATTTCAGCTCTGTACTATTCATAAACAGCACTCCTAAACATGTGGCACAAAAATAAAATGAAAAAATGGGGAAAGTTATACCAGTTATCAGCACCGCACTCTCCCGAGTGAGCCATAGGCCGGCCCATATACCAGTTAAATACTATCCAAAAGAAATGTGTTCTAGCCACATTAACATCAACGAAGACTTTATAGTGAAAAGAATTATTGTGATAAAGAAGGTCCTCATATAAGGATAAACCCATAATCACAGTGGAAGATTTAACACATTTCTTTCAATTATTGATGGATTATAAGACAGATAATTAGTAAGAACATGAAAGATATGAAAAATAAAATGGAAGAGTAGTATTCTGCATCATCAAATTAGAGAATACTCATTTTCAACTACATATAAAACATATTTTCAACTACATATAAAAACAAATGCATATTTCAACTACATAAACAACTGAACATACAAAATTAAAAACTTTTGTGCATCAAAGGACACTGTCAAGAGAGTGAAAAGACAACCCGCAGGATGGGAGATTACAGTTCAAAGAATAAAGTTAATAGCTATAAATCTGTAGGGATGTAAATAAATTATTTAATGAAAAAATAAATAAATGAGGGAGAAGGGATGATTCTTTCTTACTCCTTACAGAAGATCTTAAAATAATATATGTAGATACTTCCCCCTTTAAGGTGTGGAGCTTGGGCCGGCCTGTGGCTCACTCGGGAGAGTGCGGTGCTGATAACACCAAGGCCATGGGTTCGGATCCCATATAGGGATGGCCGGTTAGCTCACTGGCTGAGCGTGGTGCTGACAACACCAAGTCAAGGGTTAAGATCCCCTTACCGGTCATCTTTTAAAAGAAAAAAAAAAAGGTGTGGAGCTTATTTTCCCTCCTATTGATTATAGACTGGATTTACCAATGTGCTTCCAAAGAATAAAGCATAGGAAGGGAAAAAATAGCAACTCCACAAAGGAAAAACCTGGAAGTCACCACCTTAGCCAAGTAATCAAGGTTAACACCATCAGTGATATTCAAATTCCTGATATGAAATAATGAGAAGGGCATTTTTCCTTGGTACTTTTCCTCAAATCCTTAACCCCTTAACTGATCATGAGCTAACATCAGACAAACCCAAATTGAGAGCTATTCTACAAAATGCTGGACCAGTACTCTTTAAACCTACCATGGTTATAAAAAAAAAAAAAAAAGAAAAGAAACAAGAAAAGAAGAAACTCAGAGATTGGAGGAGACTAAGGAAACATTAGAACTAAATGTAATGTGGTAGCCTGAACTGGATTCTGGAAAAAGGGTATCAGTGGAAAAAATGGTGAAATCTAAATAATGATTTAGCGTAATTAATAGTATTGTACCAGTGTTACTTTCTTAGTTTTGAAAAATATACCATGGCTCTGTAAGATGTCAACATCAGGGGAAATGGGTGAGGGTGTGTGGGACCCTGTACTACCTCTGCAACTTTTCTGTAAATCTAAGGTTATTCCAAAATAAAAAGCTTTAAAATTAAAGAAAAAACAAAAAATCCTACCAAAAAACAAACAAACAAACAAAAACCTCACCAGGTCCATATGGCTCCACCAGTGAATTGTATCAAACACTTAAGAAAAAAATAATAGCAATGTTACACAAACTCTTTGAGAATATAGAGAAAGAGGTAACATTTCCAAATGTATTTTATAAGGCCAGAAGAAACCTGACAAAGATATTACAGAAATGAAAATTAAAGACCAATATTCCTCATAAATATAGACACACAAAAAATATTTATAAACAAATATATATATATATATATATACACACACACACGTATATATGTACGAGGGGTGTATTAGTCCATTCCTGTTGCTTATAACAAAATACTTGGAACTGGGTACTCTGTAAGAAAATGAAATTTATTGCTTACAGTTTCAGAGGCTGGGAAGTCCAAAGTCCAGGGAACACATTTGGTGAGGGTTTTCTCTGATGGTGGCTTTACAGCAGCAACACAGAGGTCTCATGTGGCAGAAATTGGTGGAGCAGAGAAAGAGAGAGACTCTTGTGTGCTCTCCTTTTAAAGCCCTCAGAATCACACCCCTGACCATCATTATTAATCCATTCATTAGGGCATGGTCCTACAATCTAATCACCTCTTCAAGGCCTCACCTTTCAAATACCATAATAGAATTTCCCACTCTCAGCAGTTACAGTGGGAATTAAGCTTCTAATATATGAGCTTTGGGGGACACGATTCAATCAATAGACAGCAAGGTGTCTTCAAAAATTTGAAATATTCATATTATCTTTTAAATATTTTAATTTTAAAGAATTATTTTATTTATTGTTTATTGAAACATAATTGATAGTACATATCTGTGGGGTACAGTGTCGAATATCCACACCTGTGTGAAATCATGGTATCTTTTAATTCCATTTTTCCACGTACTTTTTAGTGACTTTTTTTTTTTAGCAGCTGGCTGGTACAGGAATCAGCCCTTGACCTTGGTGTTATCAGCACCACATTCTTTCATGTGAGCTAACTGGCCAGCCTCCATGAACTTTTTGAAGTACCCTCTTATATCATGCTCATAGATTGGAAGACAATATTATGAAGATGTCAGTTCTTCCCAACTTGATCTATAGATTCAACACAATCCCAATCATAGTCTATGATTTTGTAGAAATTGGCTGATTTTAAAATTTATTTGAAAATGCAAAGGACCTAGGAAATCTTTTCAACAAACAATAAATGAGGTCATTAGAATGAGCCCCATTTCAATATGTCTGTATAAAAAGGGAAAAATTGGATACAGAGGCATGCATATTGGGAAAACACCATGTAAAGATAAAGGCAGAGATGAGGGTGGATGTTTCTACAAGCCAAGGAATGCCAGTGATTGCCAGCAAACCACCAGAAGCTAGAAGAGAGGTGTGGAACAGATTCTCTCACAGCCTTAGGAGGAACCAACCCTGCCTTGATCTTGGATGTCTAGCCTCCAGAACTGTAAGACAATAAATTGCTGTCATTTAGGCCACCCAGTTTGCAGTAGTTTGTTATGGTTATGAGCTGTAGACTGAATGCCTCCCCACTCAGTGAAGCTTGATCCCCACTGAAACTACTGAGAGTGGGAAATACTATTGTGATAATTGAAAGGTGGGGCCTCAAAGAGGTGATTAGATTGTAGGACCATGACCTAGTTCATGGGAATGTTTCCCAGGGCTTTAAAAGGAGAGCATGTGAGTCCCTCTCTGTCTGCTCAGTCATTCTGCTATGTGAGAACCCTGCATTACCATCATTACCAAGGACTTCATAACAGATGTGGTCCCTGGACTCTGGGCTTCCCAGCCTTTGAAACTATAAGCAATAAATTTTGTTTTCTTACAAAGTACTGAGTTCCAGGCATTTTGTTATAAGCAACATTTTAATAGCCCAGAAAACTAATAAAGATTTTGCTATATTAGACAATACCTTAAACTTCACTAAAATGTGAGATTTTTTGAAAGCCAAATCAATGAGCCATTGTGACATGAAATGGAGGTGAAAGAGGAAGATGCTAGGGTGACAACTGTCACACCTTACTCTTTGCCCCAAGGGCAGTCACTGCCTTAGTCCAGCTGTCATGTTTTACCTCATGAGTCTTTCCCATGGGAAGAGGATTAGCTGAAAATACTACATGCAGTGAGAAGGGTCAGGAGGTGAGGCATTATGACAACTCGACAGAGATTAACATGGCCAAGACATACACAGCTGGGAGGTGCTAAAGTGAGGGTTTGAACTCAGGAAATCTGGCTCCAAAATCTGTTTAAAACACCATTACTCATTATAAACCCAGTATATAAACAAGTGTTTTTTTCATTTATGTGATCAGATTTGAGAATATCTGTTTTTTTTTTTTTTATTAGAGTTATACTAGCTGCTGTAGCAGATAAATCTCTAAGTCTCATTGGCTTAATACAACAAAACTTTCTCATATCACAATACTGTCCTCCAAGTGGTGATAGAGGAACCCAGGCTCCTTCCATTGTGAAACTCTGCCTTCTTCCAGGGCTTATTCTCCTGTGCATTCAGCCAGTGGATGGGTAAAGAGCGATGAGGACTGGATGAGATGTTTTTACAGGCCAGGTCTGGGAATGGCCGAAATGACTTTTCACTTAGTGAACCCCAGCTATGTGCCCTAGAGGAAAAGGCAATGGAATTTAGTAAGCACCTAAGAGTTTTTAATCAAAACCTAATTGCTCATAATTCTGATTTACTTAAGACTGAGCACCTATTCTATACTTCAATTTATGATGTTTTTAAAAAAAATCCATAACCAGATAAGGCAAAAAATTTGGAATCTCCTCCTTCCTGAAAAAGCAAGAATACACAATTGGACAGTTATCTATTTATACAAGTATCTATCTACAGATACAAAAGGATACAAAAATACTTGGAAGTACTCTATGTTGCTTCTCCTATTACTAGAAATAAAATGAAATTTTCCAAATGCTTCTAGATTTATGTTTAAATCTTAAACGAAATATGGCAGATGAAGCTCTCTAGAGAACAAAAATTCTGCAAAGAAGCTAAAACAGTGTGCATCATATGGAGTAGGTCCATCCTGGAAGTACACATTTTAGATCAAAATGAAATGGAATTTGCTTCAGAAAAAATGGATTTACAGATAAATTTTGGATTTACAGCTAAATGGTTTCATCTTATTTCAACCTAACAATTAACTTGAAAGTACTAAAAAGCCTTGGTCTTCTTACCATCACGGAATGGGTAGAGAGATAAAAATCAAAGCAGTTTTTACATCAATATCTAAAATTCACATCAATATTAACTTGTTTCTAATTCCCACTGACCTCAAGTTCAGCTACCAAAGGATAGAGAAAACAGAAATCTAGAAATAAGCCCACATTTGGAAAATTGACCCATTTTAATTATTTAAAAACAAAAAACACAATACAACATCAAATTTCCTTTACCATCTACAATTCAGTTCATTCAAATATTCTAAGACCAAACAGTTCCCTGCCCAGAAGCAGGAAATTACAATGAGACGCTGAAGACACACGAAGGTGAATGCTGAAGATCAGAGTTCCAGCTGAAGATCAGAGTTCCAGCTGTAGGTCAAAGTCTTCCATTCAAATTCACTCCAATGTTTTTCACTTCAGTTTGTTAAAGAAAGGAAGTTCATTATAATAATTTCATCCCAGACACCAGGTTTCTTCAATGGTGCACAGCTCCATGAAATTTGTTTTGTGATATTCCACGATATAGATGATATTGTGTATTTTATTCCTATAGGAATAAAAAATAATTCTCTCTCTTTTTTTTTGGTGATATAGAAAAGTAAAACCAAAAGAAGTCAGATTCCTTTAGTAATAAACAAGGAAAAGGAAAGATCTGAGCTGTGCTAGGTGCTGGTCTTTACCTGTCTTTCTGAAGGTGTGACTTCAAGAGAGTTAAATCACACTTATGCCACTACAATGATTAGTACTGGTAAATTTTTTTTTTTTTTAGATGATAAAAAGGAAAAATACCCAATGGACATAAAATGGTCAAAAGGTTTTTTTTACTGCAGGTCAATTCCACTCGCCTCCTCCCCAAAGATACAAAATAAACATATAAATGGGATGGTAACTCCACTGGACATTCCAAGATGATAAAAAGGAAAAATACCCAATGGACATAAAATGGTCAAAAGGTTTTTTTTACTGCAGGTCAATTCCACTCTCCTCCTCCCCAAAGATACAAAATAAACATATAAATGGGATGGTAACTCCACTGGACATTCCAATTCACCCATCTGCTTGTCCCCTACACAGGTAAGGAGAACTGGCATTAGGTTTTATTAAGCATGTTGTAGTAGTAACCAGATGTGTCCATGGCAGCTTATTTGAGGTCCACTGATCCTTTGAATATGTGTAGGAAAGCCTGGCTGTTGTTCTCCGACTACCCACATTTGAACACATTCAGCTACCATGGAAACTATAAAGGAAGGAAAAAATATATTTATGACAAGATTCATTTACTGGGATTTTTATGCGCCCTTTCTTCCATAGAGCCTCAGAGTGGTGATAATGTGCTAGGGGCTGCTGTGTTTTCCAGCATGAGCTCCCATCCTCTGAGGGTCCTGAGAAGGATAGTGGATTGGTCCTGGAGCCCTCATGAAAGGAGGGGGTGGTCCCATTGGATGGAACATGTGTGGGCCAAAACCTGCAGATGGGAGAGAACAAATTTGTTAGGCTTATTGTTCCCTTGGCAACCTTTCAAACTTCTGAATCTTTCTAAGGTCAAAACCACCTACATAAAAATCAAGGCTGACATGGGGCTTAAGCAAATGTCAGTTCACAGGACTAGCCTAGGAGTATCTATCTGCATTATTTCCTCGGTTTTAGAACCTTTCCCCTCAGTCCAAAAAACTCCAAAGGACTCAAGGTATCTGCCAGTATGTCACCTGAGCCTCTGTTATTCATCAAACATGCCAAATCCTACCAGAGAGGATTCAATCAGGATTTAGGAGGTGAGGAGGAAATCAGGCTGATGGCAAGACCTTATCATCATTAAGCTCAATGCTTGATACCAGGACAGAAAGGATGTTCAAAACCAGATTTTTTTTTTCCAAGAGAATGGGCTCTGCCACAGGAGAACTGGCTACCTATGGTTTCCTTACACTGTTCACATTGTTACTGACATTCTCTAGAGCAGGGCTATACAAAGTGCCGGTCCTTGACCTGTTTATTACTAGCCAGACAAGATAAAGAGCTTGAGCCGAAATGAAATTCAGTTACATGCCCAAGCACACTGTTTAATTCACTGGATATTTCTGTAACAAGACATTCTTAATGAAGGAAGTGGTTCACTGATTTACATTCTGGCACAAGCTCCTTATTTTGTCACAGACAGGTAATACAAGCTTTGTGAAATGACACCCACCCGCAGCTCACACTTTCAGCAATAGTGCTCTAGGGCATAGGTTAGGATTTAGTTTACAACAGGGAACAAACTGATGATAGTTCACTGTAATCCAACAACTCCCACTCTGATTATACATATACTCAGATCTTTAGAAAACTAGTGCCTTTTCTCTCCTTGGCAAGCCAAGAAAAAAATGAAATATCAGGAATCCCAACACATCAGGCTTAGTTATAGACTTCTACGGGGCAAACACAAAGGATTTAGATGCATTAGACATGATGGTGAGGTGTGAGACAGAACTTTCATAAGGATTTCTCTGGGCCACAAGAAAGATGAAGTTACCTGGGGGTGGGGGCGGGGCAATACCAGGCGGTGGTGGCAGGGCAATGTTCACCACAGCTGGGGGACCACTTGGGGGTAGGTTGAAGTAGTTGGCAGAAGCTTCTTCTTCTGCTGCTGGAGGAGGAGGAAGAGCTGAAGGAGACAAAATTGCCAACATTTAAAGGGGAAGACCACTGTGCAACATTCTTTCCACCACCTTTAAGGAAGACCTCAGGACCTCAGAGGTCCTTGCTGGGAGAATGGAGCTGCTGTAAGAGCCAGACCTGGGTCTCGTCTTCTAACAGAGGAACAACAGGGCAGACTGAACTTAAGTCAGCAAAAAGTCTGCACTTACCTCCTGGCAGTCCTGGAACAGGCTCCAGCTTGATACCAGAATCTGTGGTTCCGTCCTTCTCTTTTTCTTTTCCTCTGGCTGCTTGGGATCTGGGAGACACATATGCACACAGGACATCAGCACTTTGTCCCACCTTATCTCACACCTCTGCTTCTCTCATTCCCCAGTCAAATGGAGTTGCTTCACTCCTTGCCTCCTCTTCAGCAAACACTCTTTTCCCATAAATGGCACAGTATGGAGTGGATAAAAGCAAAGGTTTTGAAGCCAGAAAGATGTCTCCAGATAATGAAAGTTTCTTGAAAATCTCAATAAAGAATTTTTAAATATTCTAATTCTCACCTTCCCCATTTCACGTTGAGTCTGCGGCCATTGACAATCAACTTATTAAAGGACTTCTCAGCAGCCACTTCTGCAGCCTGCCTTGTGGCAAACTGGATGAAAGCACACTGCTGTCTCTGCACAACAGTGATTGTCCGGATCTCTCCGAACTGGTAGAAATGATTTCTGAAGGGATACAGGCAGAGAAAATATAGGAGTTAACAACACAGACATTCCCAAGAGATTAAAAATGTATTATTAACTCTTTCACTGACTCATCACTAGGCAGGTGGGCCCCCTGGTTATCTACCTAACTACCCCCATGTCTTGCCCTACTACGGGTGGTGCTTACTGAGAGAAGGAAAGAAAAATAATGAGTAAAAAGGTTCTCAAACATCTCCAGGTTTTTCTCATGGAGGAAAGGGGGCTCCAAAAGGTTCCTTAGGGACCCTAAGCCCTATACCCTAGATAAGGGGTTAGCAAACTACAGCTCTCATGGCCCATAAGCCAAGAATGTTTAAAATTTCTTTTAAAGGTTAAAAAAAAAGAAAAAAAATAAAAAGAAGAAGAATATGTGACAGAGACTGTATATGGCCCACAAAGGTTTAAAATACTTACTATCTAACCTTTTGTAGAAAAAGTCTACTGACCCCTAGGGACTGTCTAGCTCACTTAGATAGGGTTTAATAGAGACAAGCTACCAAGGGCAGGTTATAAACTTACAGGAGTTTCTTCTCCACTTTATCTCTTTGGAAGAGGTAATTTCCATTACTATCTGCCCAGATGTCTCATCTAGCCAAGCATAATACAAGCCAAAAATAATACAAATTTATCAAATACCAGTCTCTTTTAAAAGCCAACAATTTAAACCATAAGAGTTTTATAATCACAAAGCTCTCCCTCCCCTAGACAATTAATCATACTCGGATGTGTGCCATCCTTAAAAAATTCTAATCAGCCATTAGGTCAAATAGATCCCATGTAATTATTACCATATGTGTGGATGGATAAGCACTACTGATAAATATTACTACTCTGGCATCATAAAGAACAATTTTATAAAACATCTAGTCAGCATGATACTAACTATAGAGTAGCTAAAGAAAAATGTACTTTGTAAAGAACTATCACACTTGCCTGTGTTTTTGCAAATAAATTATTTCAGGGCAGTTAAAAGCAAAAAGATATGTTAAAATTATACCCACAAACCTTAGATCTGTCTCAGTAATGGTATCACCCAGACCACCAACATATAGTGTGGTGATAGTCTTATCCTCTGGTGGATCCAGACGAGGCATTGTTGAAGCCCGTTTTAGAAGCTTATCTGCTACAGGATCGTTGATTCCATAATATCGGTCTTTAATATTCTGATCAGCAAGGGGGTCATCAGGATCTGTAGGCTTTTCATGTCTATGATTCAGGAATGAACAATGCATAAAGGTGAAAAAATGTTGGTATTAACCAACAGTAACTACATATTAAAGTCCAAAATACATACTTTGAAATGTCGTTTGAACTAGTAACCATGGCCATATCAAAATATAATTGTCAAAATAGAACTAAAACCAAGGGATTTACTGTATCACACAAGAACTTCCCATTTTCCTAAAAGCTGTTAAAATAGCAATCTAGGTTGCCAAACTTTCCTTGTAAAGAAATACTTTTGGCATGACCCATCTCCAAAAGGGGACACATGGTTACCCCTCTCCAGGTCAATGGTTCTTAACATATTTGAGGACTTGCGTTTCACTGCGAATCTGATTAAAGCTATGGTCCCAGCTTCAGAAATAGGACATAAATTATTTTGGGGGCTGTGGAGAGGGGTTAACCAACCCCAAGTTAAGAACTCCTAATACAGATGCTCAACTATACATTGAGATTCAAGCCATTTATACTATGACAGGGAGAACTGACTTCTCCGGTAGTAACTTTTAAGGTCAGCACCTATATTATATGGCATCGCAATTTAGTTTCCCAAGGCTCAGTTGTAAGTAAAAACTACAATTTAATCAAGCTCTTCTAAATGTAATAGTTCTAAGACATGAGCTATATCATGCTAGTTGTATTAACTTTAGATTGTAAAGCAGAAATAGTTTAAGCTAGCATCTCCCACTTCTTAGATGACTGATCATCTGAAAGCAAACACTCAAAGTGCAGCTCAGTTCTTGCCTGTATGGACACTCCTCTCCTCTCTTACACTCTCCTTTCACCCAGAAGGAGCAAATGTGGGGCCGATTCCTTTTGTAGTAGGGTGTGGTCCGGGCCAATTTGAGTAACATGTCACTGGTGGATGTGGCTTTCCCCAGCATGCCAACTGGCCGTGTTCCATCAGAGTTAGAGATCTACATGGGGATGACAAATTCAAGAGGTAAATTATAGACTGTGTCTTATCAAATATAAAACTACATTAAGAAAATGGCAGCATACCTCTCTCTCCATATTCTGTGTGTAGTACTCTTTGTTGACATCTGACTTTGGCATGTCGTCTTTAAAAGATAATCCTGCATCACGAACTTGGATGGGCAGGCCTGGCACAAAGAGAAGGAGGAAAAAACCTCAGATATATTTAAAAACTTTCACATACTGAATGTGTATGCAGAATAATATATCATCCTTCCCTTCTCCACTTTCCTATTTGGTACCAAAGACTTTACTATATTTTTGTTCAAACTCTTTAAAAGCATCATCAGGGCTTCCAGTCAAGATGGCAGAATAGTCAGTACCCAGTGTCACTCTCTCCCACAAATCAACCAATTTACAACTATTAGAAAGCAACAACAGCCAAGCTGGGGCCACTAGAGCTCAGGGGAAGAGGAGGAGAAACCTACGGAGTTCATGAAGGCAGAAGAAGCCACAATGAGAGAAAGAAAGGACTGCTCCCACCATTTTGAGCCCTGGCCACTTCAAGTCTGGAGCTGGTGAGCACACGGAGCAAAAGCTGGCAAAAGCCACAGCTGTGCCCTTTGTATGAAGCTGCTTGGAGGCGGCAGGGGAGAAAAGAACCTTGGTGGCCCCCAGATCAGCAAGACCACTGACAGGGTTCCCATGGACCCAAACAGGAGTGAGGAGCCACTCAGAGGCCGATGAGTCATCACAAGGGACTGGCGCATGGTCCGTCCCCTGGGAAGTGTTTGGAGTACAGGTGGTGGGGAAGATGGGCCCACTGGGGGAATACTGGGGCACAGCATGAACAGTTGATCTGCCTCTAGTCAGAGCAGGACCACTCAGTGGAGACTGGTCAGGAATACAGAACTGCAGTTTGCTGAAAACACTCAGGCCCAGAACAAAGTTTCCACACAACCCAGATGTACCAGACCTCACAAGACCCAGAAATACATATGATGTCAACAGTTAAAACCTGAGCTGCATGAAAAGCCTTTCCTAGGGAATCTGCAGGAATGAAGAAATTTAGGTTAGCTAAACTACAGGGCTCAAGTGCTGGTTCCCACAGGAAGTTCCTCCATTTTAGAAGTAAGCAAAATTAGTTCCAGCACAGAGTTTACGTGGTAGGAACAGCAAATAATCCAACACAGAACTGAAAGAAAAAACAAAATTCCCACACATCAGAGACAAAGTTGATATTAACTAGCAAAGGTCTAACACCACCAAAGAGCACCTATAAAACCTAGAAGGACTGGAGGGCCCCTGGGCTCCCAAGCCAGAGAGGAGGGAGGGCTGAGGGCCTCAGCCACCCCCGACCCCCGACATCTGCAACCAGCCCAGCAATGACCACCAAGCTACTGCTGGAAACACCCAAGGTTCCCGAGCCAGGGTGGTGAGAGGCCGAGGGACTTAGCCACGTGACCTTGATATCCCCAACCAGTCCAGTGATGACCACTGAGCCACTGCAGAAAGTGCCCCAGGTCCTGAGCTGGGGTGGTGGGGGGCCAAGGGCTTCAGCAACAGCCCTCTGACATCTGCATCCAGCCCAGCAATGACCGAGCTCCTGCTGGAAGCCCCCTGGTCTCCCCTGCCAGAATGAGGGGGGTGCCACAGGCCTTGATCACACCTCCCCTCTTTTCTCCTCTTCTCATCCTACTTCCCCTTCCCCTTTCTCTCTCCCCCTCCCCAACTGCTCCACAACATCTTAGAATGAGGCATGGAGCTGAGAGAAGCCAAACTCAGCCATAACAAGGCAAGCTGCCATGACTGTCCCTGGGATCCGCTGGGGTCCCGAGGCATGGAGCCAGGGGAAGCTGAACCCAGCCACAGCCAGGTAAAGAACACACCAAACATACCATTTCCACATGGGTAGCGTTCCATAGCTATTTCAATTGCCATGGCTGTTGCAAAGGCAGCTAGTCCCTATAGCAGCAGTCACAGCCACCATGCAGATGGCACACCAGACTCGCAACTTCACTGACACAATAAGAGGCCAGCAGAGACCAAAAAAAAAAAAAAAAAAAAAAAAACGAACAAATTATCTTCAGAATCGGAGGTGGCCCCTTTGAATGAAAGGAATGAGAAGGAAGGTGAGGCCATCACATCCACAAAGGGTCTCAAATTAAGAACTGTGGCATTATTCAGGCCTATCAGAGAGAAACCCCAATGAGGCCGACAGACAGAAATGCTCTTCATGTATCTGGGTGTGTCCCATTACCAGCCCAAGCTTCTGGCATGCACATGGGTCAATACTTTTTTTATAAATCCTTAAAACATTTTGCAAAGGCAAAATGAAAGTGCCCAAGAGGTGCTCTCTCTCCACAAAGCACACTCCAGAGTAAAAGAAGAAGCACCTGATTTATTATAATAGGGGAGAACTTGATCACACCTGTCTCAGCACTGGAAAGATCATCTAGGCAACAAACTGACAGAGGAGCAGTTAATCTATCAAATGGAGAGAACAAATCTTTGGTAATCAGTGGGGGAAGTGGGGATGGGGAGGGGAGATTGGATAAGGGGCATAAAGAATAAGTATGATTTGTAACAGTGACTATGCTAAAAAAAAATAAACTATGAATAAATAAATAAATAAAAGCACCATCAGGCTAGTATTGCTACATAGCATTCTAAGAAATTGTCCAAATTCCTAAGCTGTAACGAAATTTGGTGAAGTGAATGCTTTAGAAGATCTTTTAGATGAACAAACTTTGGTTATAGTCAGATTTGAACTGTATATTAATAATGTATCTAGTTTTTATTATAACATGATTTATTTAAAATAAACATAAAAAGTGGTTTATTTTTGGGCTGGCCCTATAGATCCTACAGATAGTCACAGTCATGTAAAGGTCACTCTATTCCAGGACCAGAACACCCCCTTAGCAAACATATAAATAACATTAAATAATAACATGGTTAGGACTCTGATTAGCAGAATAACTTTCTGAACTTAACATACATAAACTCACACATTTTCCTTTTCCCTTCCATCTTACTGTATAGTAAAAACTCTTTAACAAAATTATTTTTCTCGGGCTGAGCCCGTGGCGCACTCGGGAGAGTGCGGCGCTGCAGCGCTCCCGCCACGGGTTCGGATCCTATATAGGGATGACCGGTGCGCTCACAGCGCTCACTGGCTGAGCGCTGTGCGGCCGGTCTCAAAAGGACAAAAAAAAAAAAAAAAAATTATTTTTCTCATAAACAAAAAGTCACCTACAGTTTAAAAAAAAAAAAAAAACACTCCCCAAAGCAGTTACTCTGAAACAGTAACAATATATCAGTCCTAACGCATGACTGAGACAAAAGGAAGGACTCTAGATTAGCCTAATCCTGGTTCTCTTCCTGGAAAAAGCAGAGCACAGCAGATACTCCAAGGTGGAATCAAAACCAGAGATAGGGTGAAAAGTGGGAGATAAAAAGACTGGTTTGTTGTTTTAAGGCACCTGCATACTTTCATACCTATTGGGCAGTAAACATACCATATTCTAGGTCTAAGAGGCAGGTTTGACAGACATTCTTCAATTTACTGCAGGTTTGGCACACTTCAGTCTTCTTGAAACGCATGCGGACCCCAGGGCACCAGCGAAACACTGTGAATGGCCTGGCACAGATCTGGAACACAAAGCAAGAGCCACAGAGTGTTAATGATCTTGACATGGACAATCAATCCAGGATATCTGAAAACAATGGGGGATTCAAGAAGGGATCCCTGAATCTAGGGTTTAGAAGAGAGTTTGGCAATCATCTAATTTGAGCATTATCTGATTGTTCAAACCAATTTACAGCACCCTTTCCCAGTAGTTAAAAAATTCACATAGTACAGAAATGAAATATTTAAAAAGTCAAAGTCCCCCTACCACCCCAGAGGTAAGTACCATTAATAATGTGACTGTTAATCTTTTTTGGCGGGGTGAGTGTCATATAATCCTTTGAGAATCTTATGACAGCTATGACCTTCATTCTCAGAAAAAATGCTCCCACGCATTGTCATACAATACCCGATATACAAAAACTCAGGTTGAATGCCCATTCTTGGACATCAGGTTAAGAATCCTTACATCAGAGGGCTCATTTTCTTACCTCCCACCCTAAACAGTTATTAGCCAATGAAAATATCAATGACATATGAAAGTTGTGTAGTGCTGACTTTTATTGGAGGACCTTAAAGCTGAGTAAGTTGAAGGCTAATTTAGTAGAGGAAAGGAAAATAAAATCATAACTCTTTAACAGACACACTTACTTTGCATTCCTTCCCATACTTTTCTTTGGTCTGAAATAGAAATAAATAGAAAACAATTGGAGTTACAGGAAAAAAACAGATGTCTACACTTTCCCTAAATACAACCCAAGAAATGTGTCTGGAGATCAATCCCCGGAATCCTAAAGAAGAAACAAAACCAAAAAACCCAACTTTTGGTGGGAAGAAGGATATACATTCTAAAGATGTACTATGAATTATAATCTCTCAAGAGTCTATGGATCTAATACCAAGTAAGTGAGTATCTTTGCAGAGCCACAATTTTTAGGTTCATTTCTGGCTCCCAACTTTGCTCCCCAGAACCAAAATTCCTAATAGTTTTCACAGTCCTTAAGTCAGACAGGATGTGGCCATGGCCAATCCATTTTACAAAGGAAGAAGGTAACTACTATAGACTCACCCTGTGCTGATGCCCTGCTATATAGTAAAATTTCTGTTTCCATAAGCTATTCAAACATCTCGAACGTAACAACACCTCTGAGATTGATCACAATACAGCCCTAAGCTAATTATTATTAACTGTGGCTAATTTTACCCTTGTTTATAAGGATAGGGGATACTTTACACTAAAGAGATTACAAGGTGTAGTGGCCAAAAGGCATTTGACTAGGAGTCACCAAACCTAGTTTTCACTCCTGGTTCTCCTCTTAACTTGCTGAGGTCCCTGGAATCAGAACGTTTGAATTTAAATCCCAGATCCACTCCTTACTTGCTGAACGAAAAGACAAACTCTCTCTGGTCAACAGACCCACTTTTTAGGTAAATGCTCAGCAAATACTAGCTATTATCATGACTCCTATGCTTCAGGATGGTCGATGAATTCCTAAGTGAAAGAATAAGCGTGACAGTCCTTTGCAAATGGTCCTGCTCTGTAGGGTAGTAAAAAAGCATCATTTGCTCTGCCTGGCTAAGAGAAACACTTCACAGACTGTGTGCAAGTACCACAACACTGACAGAACAATAACTTCTGTTTCACATGCGATCACTCACCATTCGGATATATGGGTTTTCTCCAAGACACGTCTGGCACAGAATGGGGAAGTCCTGGTGAAAATGGGAAATCTGGTTGAGGCCCAAGCTGCGAAGACCCTGCCACCTCAGTCACACTTGAGGAGAGGGGGTGACGGGGTTGGGGGTGGAGGGCAAGGCAGGAACCCGAAGTCCAGCACGGCCGGGTCGCGGGAGGGGACGCTGTCTGCACTTCCGGCGGCGGCGGGAGAAAAGAAAACCAGCTCGAAAAGATTGGAGGGGGCAGAGATGGAAAGGGGGCTGGTTCCGGGACCCTGGCTAAGCCCCCTTCCTCCAACCTCCTGCTCTGGCCACGCTAGGCCGCGGCGCTGGCTCCTCCCCGGAACCTCCTGGACCGCGCCGCAACCCGAGTCCTGCCTGCCCGCATGGGGCCCGGCTTCGCAGGCTCCTTCCGTCCTCCTCCGGCAGGTACACTCACCGCATCCTCCCAGTTCTGCCTGTTGTAGGTGTTGGAACCCAGAGAGGTCGCCATCTTGAGAGCGTCCGGAGGCAGCGCCGGCTTCCGAATTGAGAGAGAGGACCGCCACAATCCCGGGAGGCCCCGCGGCCGGCGCCCGGCTTGTCGACGTCTTATTTACGCGTCTAGTGCCTGCTCCGGGGCGGGGCCTTTGCGTCATGACGTCACCCACTCTTGGAATTTCTTCGCTCGGCAGTTGGGGTCTTGGTGTCGTACACCCTGAAGCTCCCTTCGGGTTGGTTCCTTCGTGCCTACTTGGCACGAAGAGCCACGAGTACCGTTGATTTATTTAAAAATTGGGCAAAAGAATAAAGGAACAAGTAATGAATGAGGGGCTGGGATTAAAGCAGCGTTAGCTACCAGTGAGCGTTTGTTATGACAAACACGGGGCGAACGTCTCGTGCCACTGTCTCATTTTATTCTCACAATAACCTCTCTGTAGGGTTGCCAGATTTAGCATACAAAAATACAGAACGTCTAGTTAAAGTTGAATTTCAGATAAACAACGAATCATTTTTAAAGCGTAAGTATATTTGGGACATACGCTAAAAAAGGATTCCTTGTTTATCTGAAATTCACATTTAACTGGGCATCCTGTATTTTAGCTGGCAACCCTACCCTTTAGGCAAATATGATCATCCCTCTTTTATAGAAAAGGAAACAGGCTTAGAGAGATTAAGTAAACTGCTCCTGGTTGTCGAGCTATAAAATGGTGAAGCCACAAGTCCTAAGACATTAGTACGGTTTTTCCAACTTCTGAAATAGGAAGGGTCTTAAGGATCAACACATGCATTGCTGTTCGTTTTTGGAACAACTCATAACAACTCGGCCAATATTTTACGAATTTCAAGCCATTCTGGTACCACTTTTACATTTGATCTAACCTATCATCAAACTACCCAAACGTTTATTTAAATCACCTCAGTTAAAAAAAAAAAAAAATCAGGAGGGCTGGCCTGTTATCTCTCTCGTTTAGAGCATAGTGCTGATAGCACCAAGGTCAAGGGTTCTGATCCCCTTATTGGCCAGTCATCAAAAAAAAAAAAAAAAAAAAAAAAGCCATTCTGGTACCACTTTTACATTTGATCTAACCTATCATCAAACTACCCAAACGTTTATTTAAATCACCTCAGTTAAAAAAAAAAAAAAAATCAGGAGGGCTGGCCTGTTATCTCTCTCGTTTAGAGCATAGTGCTGATAGCACCAAGGTCAAGGGTTCTGATCCCCTTATTGGCCAGTCATCAAAAAAAAAAAAAAAAAATCAGGTTTTTTTAAAGTATAATTTACAAACAGTAAAATTTTACTTTTTAGTTATACAGTTATGCATTTTTAAATACACTCACCATGATCAAATATAGAATAAATCCATCAACCCCCGAAGTCCCCTTGTCTCTGTAGTCAATCCACTTATCCCCTTGCTCAGTCCATGGCAACCACTGATGATCTGTGTTCTGTCTGTATAGATTTTGCCTTTTCCAGAGTGTCATATAATTGGAATCCTACATAGCCTTTTGGGTCTCTTTCTCTCACTTAGCATATTGTATTCGAGATTCACCCGTATTGTTACATGTATCAGTAATTTTTTTTGCTTTTTATTGCTGACTAGAATTCCATTGTATGTTTGTAGCAGAGGGTTTTGTTTGCTTTTTAAATCCATTTGCTAGTTGTTGAGCATTTGGATTGTTTCCAGATATTAGTAAATATAAATAAGGCCATTATAAGCATTCACATAGAGGCTATTGTATGGACATGGGTTTTCATTTTGCTTGTGTAAATACCTCAAAGTGGGATTGATTATATGGTAAGTATATATTTGCCTTTATAAGAAAGTTCTTGGGTTTATCTGAGCTTCTTGGATATGTGATTTGTTGTCTTTTCTTATATTTTGAAAATTCTCAAGTATCATCTCTTCAGATATTTTTCTGCACAATTTCTTTTCCATCTTGGACTCCATTTACATATGTTAGACAATTTGGTATTGTCCCACAGCTCTTGAATACTCCATTGTTGTAGTTTCATTCTTTTTCTCTTTAGGTTTCAGTTTGGGTAATTATTATTTTTGGTGGCTGGCTGATAAGGGGATTCAAACCCTTGATCTTGGTGTCACAAGTTGGTGCTCTAACCAACTGAGCTAACCGGCTAGCCAGTGTGGGTAATGTCTATTGACCCATATTACAGTTTCATGATTGTTTCCTCATCTATGGCAACTCTACTACTGATAAGTCCATTGAAGATAATCTTCATTTCTGATTCTTTGTTTTTTATTTCAGTTTGTCTCATTTTTATAGTTTCCACCTTTCTGCTGATATCCATTCATACATATTATCCATACTTTCAACTAGATTCATTAATATGTTAATCAGAGTTAAAGTCCCCATCCAATAGTTCAAACATTTTGGTCATTTCTGTATATGGTCATATGCGCCTGTAGATGGCTTTGTCAATGAGAAATGAGTTGGTTTTTCTTCTTTGTCTCATTTTTTTTTTAATTGAATACCAGTCATTGCTTGTATTCAATAAAACAGTAGAGATGGAGGTAAATACTATTAGTGCTTGGAAATGGGCAAGCCTCTTCTGCCAGGCCATTTGTGTGGGGTTTGGTCAATCTAGTCAGAAATTGAGCTGGGTTTACGTTTTGTTGTTGTTATGTTTGCCTTGAGTGTACCATAGGTTTCACATCCTCTAGCATTATTTTGTTCTTTAGGTTGGGGCTGAAGACCTTTGCTCAGCACAGTACTGCCGAGTCTCTTTCTGGGCCCTCGCCCATCCCCCAGCTGCTAATGCATACTAGGCTGGTAGTGGGAGAGGTGTAAAGGGGTTCTCCATTGTTTTAATTCAATTCAGCCTCAGTCTTTAGTAGGTCCCCTGTGCCTAGGTCTTAGGGATGGATCTTTTCTCAGCATTCTCTCCCCTCTTCCCTGTGGCAGCTATACCTTGACTTGTATCTGTGGCTGGTCTTGTGGGGGAGAGTTTCTGCCCTTCCCACTGTGGAAGGAGACCCTTAATAGTATCGGTATAGAATCATGGGCTCAGGACTGAATCTTGTCCCTCCCAGTGGTAAAGGTTTTTCTTACTTGCCCCAGCAGCAATGGGTCTTTATATGTGACCTGGGGAGAGAGGATTTTCCTTTTCCCCCAGTCGCTTAGGCCTTCTTGCTCCTTATAAAAGAGGGGCCTGGGCAGGGAGGCAAAGTTTCATGCCTTTCCCACATGCATGCCTCCTGCATTCCTCCAAACCAAGGGAGGCTCTCTAAGCTCCCACTCTGCCCATCTTTCTCATGAACACCTGCTAGAGGATTTGGAAAGTGTGTAAGTGAATGCAATCTAACTCCCTCTGTACCTTGGGCTACCAGAGGTTGTATATTGTAGCCCTTATTTGGCTTTTAGTAATTCTTTAACATTTTAGTTGATTTCCTCTTCCTTCCTTGTATTGTGGCCAACACTTCTTCCTTCCATATTCTGTTACAAGTTAAGCAGTCTAAATGTCCTCTCCTTGGAGAGTTCTGTCCCTTCTTGAAATTCAGACTATTAGACTGCCCTGCCACATAAACTCTCTGATAGATTCAAGGACATTTATGATTTTGTCATTGTCCACTTTATGTTTTTGTTTGAGTGGGGGTGACACTCATTCCAGACATCTATGTCATAGGCAGAAGCTTCTGTGGAACTCTGTGGAATATATCAATTCATCTTACTTAAATTTATTTATTTATTTATTTTTTCATTAAATTTTTATTTTGTCAATATACACTGTATATGATTATTATGGCCCATCACCGACACCTCCCTCCCT